TTTCCTTTATAAAAGGCTAAATAAAACAAAAATACTGGTGGTAATTTTTGACTGTGTAACTTTACAAACGGCACCCCGTAACCGACAACTGTGTTAGCAGCTGGGTTGATGAGCAGCAGAGGATCCGGGGGGTTTCTGGCAGTGCCGTGTTCCAGTCGGAGTTTTGTTGCCCAGAATGGATCCAAAAATTAAACAATGACAAAGAAGCACGCAGAGAAGGTGAAAGAATAAAAAAATAGTCTGGTGGTCCAGTTCTCTTCCATCAGACAGGCTGTTGGCAACTGAAACCCCACATTTTTAATTTAATTTAATTTTTTTGTTGTTGCTAGTTAGAAGATGAACGTATGTGGCCCTGATGCTCTCCTTTCGAGCTGTTGTTCCAGTGGAGCGCTGTCAGTTATCAGAGAAAGACTGACTGCTCTGTCCTAACTCATCATTTAAATTTTCTATATATTACAATAAGAATTCAATATTTTCAATAAGTGTGTGCTTCCTTAAAGGGTATTCAATTCACTGAATGTGTGTTACAATAAAGGACCTGGAGTCTATGTTTAATTTGCAGCTATTTTTTGTTTGCAACATAATGACCATAATGGATATAGCTACAGCTTACATAATGTCGAGGGAGGTTCAGATGACTAGTTTTCTATGATGCGTCCACTTTAATTGTGACGTTGGAACAATGCTTCTTGGTGGGGACCTTGGCTGCATGTCACTCTTCTCCTCTTTGCCCTTGATTCTGTTGTCCGTCAAACGCCACAAAAATGCGTCAAAATCAACAACATAGTTCCCGCAGTTGCATTCTTTTCATTTCTGGCAGTGTTTAAGGGAATTTATGTGACCAAGCGATGTTTACAGCGAGGCTTTAAAAAAAAAAATCCCAGAACATGAATACACACCCAGATTCATGGCTGCAGGTTTTTTTTTTTTTTTTTTTTTTGCCTTGTTGCTCACTCAGCTCGAGGAAGGAAATGACTGATTCCCAACAGGGACTGTCACTTCCATATTTAGGAACTAAAGCCATTGTTAGAGTAGACAAGCTGGCTGCCAGTTGTTCTCCACCCAGAATCACTGTTTCATATGAGTTCACTCTGACAGCATCTTCTCACTTTCTGCAGAGCGCCCTCTGCTGGCCACAACCAGCAGGCTTTTCACTATTTAAATATGCTACCAAAACATCTCATTACACTTTGGATGCAGTTGAAAAGAAACCTGCTGAAAGCAATCACTTAATGGACACCTGCAACTGAATGACTTTTGGAGTCGGCTTGATTCAAGATGGCCGCCACAGCCAGTTTTACGCATAGATTTTCAAGTGGTAGTAACTGTGACTGATCCCCACAGAGACTGAGCTCAAACAGATTGCACATATTTGTTTAAAATGTGGCAATGAGCTATTTGTTAGCAAAATATCATGTGAACCACAGGACTGATTTGAAAGAGTTTCATGCAACCGTAAATAGGTCACATAATTATTGTTCACTGGCTTTGATTTTATTTATTTTTCTTAAATTAACACAACATTTTGAAGTATTTTAATAAATGAAAATCACAAGTTTGAGGAGACGATGATTAGACTTTGTCTTTGCTTGTTTCATATAAATTTGGCCCAGCCTGTTTCTACAATTTTTTTTCATGAAATGACGACAATTAAGCTAAATTGGTGTTCATTGTTTTTCCCAAGTGTGGCGCTCTATGAGGAAGATAAATAAAGACTATTGCGCAACCAGCATTTGCTATATAGCCTTGAAGCAGGAGGCTCTATCTATTCCTAAGCCAGCTATAGATCTGACTAATGATAGGCCGGCACCACGGTTATTATAGTTAACTAAAACTAACTAAATAAGGACAATTGAAATTGAAAAAAAACATTTTAGTTAAGTGAAATAAATAAAAACTGTAATAAAATTTAAAAATGACAACTAAACCTATACATTTTTTACAAAACTAACTAAAGCAAACTGAAATAATAGATAGAATATCTTTAGTTTTAGTGTTTGTCAGTTTGTTTTAAGCCATGTGGATCCTTTTTTTCCAAATTGAGTCGTTTCACATTAGCTGCGAGCAGTTTACAGCACGTCATGGTCTGTAACAACACTTGTTTACAGTCTGCTGCTGCTCAGCATCGAARGCAGCGAAGTCCACTTTGAGATTTCTTTGAATTTGACTGCGAGAAAAATCAAAGCAAGTGTCTTGTAGTGGAAACAGATGATAAAATCGGTGGAAGGCTTCTCAAGGGAAAAACTGCATGAATCAAGCTCGAACAAGATGCTAACTATGACTATCTTAACGCTAGCTTCTCTCAGTAGCTCCCATGAAAAACAAGCAACAGGTAGCACCGGGTTGGAGACAACTATTTTCATCGTCCTAAAATAATCACCCAGTTGACAAAATTGAGTTATACAGTTATTTTAGTAAGGTTTCGCTACAATGGACTGCTTTAACTAGCGACCAAATAGCTGTTGGTTAGTTAAGTCACAGGAACATCATAAGCTTGAGGATGCATTGGCAAATAAAATATTGAACTAAACTAAAACTAAGCATTAAAAATGCAATAATAACTAATAAAAACGAGCAAATCCACTGTAAAAACTAATTAAACCTAACTGAATTCAAATAAAAAAGACAACGAAATAAAACTAAACTATAATGAAAAATCCATAAATATAACTGCGAGGCCGGCACTGGCAAATAAGGAGACAATTCGTTTGTGTTAGCATCGGAGAGGCTAGCGACTAGCATGGATATTTTAATAATTTAAAGCTTATCAAAGTGAGATGCTTCTGAAGTTTAAGTTGAATAAGTTGTTTGAGTTGATGTTTTTATGTTGTTGTTCTTATTTTATTTTTTTTATTTTATATTGTTTTGTATTATGTTTTGTTTGAATATATTCTGCGTTGAAAAAGGACAGACATAATAAGATTTGTTGTTCTGCTGCCTTTCATTTTATTTAGATTTGTATATTTTTTGGTTTATTTTTTATTATTGTATATTGTATTTTTTGATGAAATGAATAATTTTTTTAATTGAATTTAATTGAATTGAATAACTCTTTATGTTTAATCCACAGACACTGAGCAGACACGAGTCCTCACAGAAACCAGCAGCAGGTCTCCGGAGGCCACAAATCTGTCAACGGAGCCACTTAGCTTCTCTTTTATAACGGGCACCGAGGCCGGCAGCAGAAGTAACTTGAAGGAGTTCACCAACACAAACCAGACGCCTGTCACCGCCCACACGGTGTCCCCACAGGACATGTCTTTTCAGTCTACAGGAGAGGAAAACCTGCCACGGGACAGCCCACGTACCACCCTCCGATTGGGGGACGCCACAGCTTTGATGTCGCAGACGGCCGTCCTTGCCGACCGCACGTATACGACCACCATCAGCCGCGCTGGGGAGAGAACCCTGCTGTCTGTGACATCGTCCTCCAACAACAACACCTCACCTGGCTTTACACAAGACTCCAGTTCACGCCAGCCTTCCTCTACCTGGGGGATTCCTCCTCAGCCTGCAGACACAGAGGATTATACTCAAAGCGCTCCGTCAACAAGGACTAATGGAGGGGAGCGGCACACAAATGGCGCCTTTTCAGAGACGGGGACCCCAGTGGGGGTCACGGGAGCCCTGAATTTAACCGCACAACCTAATGTCACCGAAAATCGACACACTCCAACAGGACAGGAGACCCCCGAGTCCACGCCCCCTCTCGGGGTGACCGAGCTCAGCACGGACCAATCACAAGTCTCCGTTTCCGGCACTTCACTTGTCACGTCCGCTGCCGGAGGTCCTGTGAATGTCTCCGGGACGGATCAGGGTTCCGGCTGGAGTGTCGGAACATCCACAGAGTCGACCACCGGAGCCCAAAGCTCCATCACTCAGAGCCAGGAGGGCACAGAGGGGCTTTCATCCCAAACCAGTGAGGGCGGCGTGGGGCTGACGGCGGCACCCACAGCTGTCAGCAGCAGCACCTCCAGAGTAAACGACTCTTCCACAGACACGCCTGAGTTCAGTACAGAGGTCTTCCTCACCACAGAACCAGTGAATGTCACTGAGAGGTAAAAGACTTTCTGCTTATTCCGGTCAACATTCAAACAGTTTGGAGTAGGGATGCACCGATATCGATATCCGATGTAATTATTGCCGTTATGGCCAATAACTGATATTTACTGATGTTACACAAACACACAAATTATATAATACATTTACGCATAAACACACTTGGATCTTTTTTTGATACAGTAAATAAACAACCAGACCTCTGACATGGCTCTACTTCAGTTATTCCTGGCTGCGCAGCATCAGTATCACTATTATGATCAAACAGATACAACTCAACCAACCTTCTCCCCTCCCAAAACAGAAACACAAGGCTAAAAAGTGGGAAATCAATATCGGACGTTAATATCGGCCCAGTTTTAAATACCGAACGATACAGATATCAATATCGATACATTGTGCATCCCTAGCTTAGAGTTTCTTTCTTGCGTTTTTAGCAAACTACATTTGTTTTTTTCTGCATACTCTGGCAGCACATTCTCAGTGGTCAGCACTGATGTCTCTCAGCAAAATGGTCCTGGGTTCCATCAACGGTTCGAACCTGGGGTCTTTCTGTGTGGAGTTTGCACGTTCTCCTTGTGCTTGTGTGGGTTTTGTCTGGGTGCTCCGGTTTCCCTCACAGGAAAAAAAAAAAAAAGACGTTAGGTTGCTTTCAGGCCTCTCAGGCAAAAGAGATGCGTGATTTCAATGGGATTTTCTTGGTTAAATAAAAGTTAATAAAAAAAAACTTTATGGCATTTTAACGATTCAAAAACCAAAACGATATTTTCGATCTGGACTAGTGTGCTTTGACGTTTAATATTTGTAACTTTTAGACTTTTCAGAAGTATGTTTTCTTTAAAAACTAATTCAACATTCTCGCAATAATAATTCTTATTCTCCTTTTATTTTATTTTATGTTTTGTTATTTTCTTCCTAATATAAACTAGTTACGCTAGCTGTAGCTTTTAGCTATAAGCTTTTTGCTAATTTAACTTTTATCTATGTGGTTTAGCTGGTATAGCTATTGGGTTTTAATAATATTAGCTATTAGTTACAGTTTTACTGATTTTAGCATCTAGCTACTGTTCTTCTACTGTTCTGCTGGTTTAGTTTTATTGTTGTTATTTCAGTCTAAGGGTGCACAAACCTAAGCATAAAAATCAAGGATTTTAGATCTAACTGTTTACTTCCTCTTTCACAGAACACAAACAACGGAGGAAAACACTTCCGAAGCTTCTGCCTTTACTACCACCACCACGGCCTCCACTCTGCGGCCCCTGCTTTCTACATCTTTCACTATTTTAAGTAGCATCTCTAGTGGTTATTCATCAGAGGCCCCTACAGAGGCCACCCTTCCATACGTGACCCCCACCTCCCCAGTTTCCACCCAGGCCACGCTGACTTCTGCAGCCCACCCCACTGACCGCCTGTCGCCCAGTCAGGGACCCTCGACGGGGCCGACCACGCCCACCGAAGCTGCCACCGTGCGGACCGAAACGAGTCCAAAACCCCAGAGAGTTACCACAGCTCCCAGTCAGTACCGGAGAACCACCTCCGCTCACAGCTCTCCTCCAGCTGGGAGCACAGAAGCTCTGCGGACCACCAGCACACAGTCAGAGCCCGTGGAAACAATGCCACCTGCTGGTATCCGAACCACAAAGGTGCCACGGAGTGAGTGCTTTGCTTTGTACACTGCTGTGTACTTCACACTACTTTTCATTAGTTTGTTCTCAGTTACACAGATCTCAGAAGTTAAAGGAGAAAAACCACTCCTCTACCTAATTTACTGCTTTGTTTTAACATTTGTAATCATGATATTGCATGTATTTGAGCTCTATTGTTTCACAGATTTCATAAACTCACTTGAAGTTCATTTTAATAAGTATACTTAAGTTTAAGTTTAAGTATATCGAGTAGGCACCATGTACTTGTAGTGTACTAGAAAGTATATTGATTTAAAACTTCTTTGTACTAAACTGGGATGTTTTTAAGTTTATGAAAAGTGCACTTTAAGTATGCTGTTATGTCTTTTTAAGTTTATAAACTTACCAAAAAAGACATATATTTTAAGTACATGTCATTAAGTATACTGAAGTATATAAAAGTGTATTTCCCTGTGTACTTTTATTTACCATAACTGATAGAAGTGTACTAGCAGTTTACTAACAAATATACTTCTAGGACTAAATTAGCCCACAAAAAGTTTATGAAAGTATACTCAGAAGTATGCTGAAAGTAATCTAAGTATAGTTTTAGTTTAATCTTGAAATATACTACAAATCAGTCTGTGTGAAAAGTGTACTACTGAAGTTTATCTTGACCAAAGGTTTAAACAATAGTATAAACTAAGTATAGTTAAACTTTTAGTATACTTCTAGTACAAGCCAAGTATAGTGTAAGATAAACTTGGTTAAGTATATCTCAGATAGGTACATAAGAAGTAAACTGGAAGTATACTTTTTCATTTTAAGTTTAAAATTAATATACTTAATGGATACTTGCATATACTTTTTTGCTAAGGGAAATTAAAAAAAAACTTTTGTTTTGTCTTGTGCTGAGATTTTGCAGTTTTTTTTCCTGGCTAATGGTAAAACATCTTGTCTCCAATCCACGCCAGGAAACCCTTGCGTGTCGAACCCGTGCTTGAACGGAGGTGTGTGTGTGAGCTACGAAGGTCCTGAGTACACCTGTCGCTGTAAGGAGTCCTGGACCGGACCAAACTGTGACCAGGGTGAGCTTTTCTTTTTGTTATCATTTGTCCTGCACAGTTTGACATCATCCCACCACAGCGGCTGTGTTTTAATGCACGGAACACTCTGAACGTGTTTTTCATGAAGTGTTTTATAGTTCACCTCTGTGTGCTCAGATATGGATGAGTGTGAGAAGGACCCCTGCCCCGCCGGCTCCAGGTGCGTTAACACCAGAGGCTCCTTCAGCTGTGAGTGTCCGCTCGGGTTGGATCTGGCGGATGGACGCACGTGCACCAGAGGTAATGCCGCTGCAAAAACAAGTGCATTCTTTTATCATTTGTATAGCTCCGAGTTATTTCACTTCGCTCACCGTACGCTCCTCAATTTTTTGTTATTTAGCAAAAACCTTTCTGGGAAGCTTTAGTTTCGAAAAGCAAGATTCTTCTATAAAAAGCGCGGCCATGCATGAGATCCAGAGAGAGATCCTACAGCTGGTGAGCATCGCTCCACATTTTTAAACTGTGCTGCTTATTTTTATTAGTTTATTTTGTATAATAAGTCTCATACATTCATAACTTTCTTTACTGCAGCTTAATGTCTCCTTATCAGTCCTTCAAGGGTACAGACGCTCAACTCTGAGCAAGGGGTAAGTGTCTAACGTCACTTAAGCTCCGAAGCTGTCCTAACCCTGCCTTTTATAGCTGTAATAATGTCCTACTATTTAATTAACAACAAATGTGTGATCTTTGTCCCAGAGAGCGGGGCGGGCTTCATATCCTGGCTGTCAACATGTTTGCCATCTCCGCTGATGTGACGACGGCTGAAGTCTACGAAAGCGTCACGGTTGTTCTCGGAAAGTGTAACTCCTCACTGAGTCACTGCCGAATGGCCCTCATGCACCAGCTCTCTTACCACAGTAAGTCTTAACAGTCACAGTCCTTCAGGCTCTGAGACCTAAAATAAATTTGAAACGGAGTTTATTTTTTTTAAAGTAGACTAGATCTGTTACAAAAGGACAACTGATATTACCAACTTTTAAAAACTGTTACGGCCAGAGGTCTTTCTTCTATGTTTATACTAAAGCATGGAATGACATTCCTCAAAACATAAAGTCCATTTCAAAACTACAGCCCTTTAAGAAGAATCTTGTCTGCCATCTGCTGGACACTTTTTGTTGTGCTCATATTTAGACGTCCTATTTTGCAAATGCTGCCTTCCTGAAATTCGGTATGCTTGTTTGTCTTTGTGTCTATGGTGTATAATGATGTGATTGTGATGCTGTATTTCTGAGTGTTTTATGTGCTGCAGAACAGGAACCTGCTGTAAAACAGCAATTATGCTGAGTCAGGCTTGATTTTTAGTAATCTTTTCCTGTTAAATCAAAAAATCAAATCAAATCAAAGCGCCTCTGACATGAAATTTTTGTAATAAACATGAATGCACTTTTGGAAAGATAACATTGATAACATATTGCAGAACAAATTCCACGTCGCTCAGATGAACGGTTGTTGAGATGTTGGCATGTGAAGAAACAGGAAGTGATGTCAAAGGGGAGTGTCTGCATGTAAACAGAGTGTTGATTCAAAGGCTAACAACACAGACTGTAGAGAAGAATTTGATGTTTCTTTACATTCATTTTAGTCGCTATAGACGAAGAAGAGAATTTTTTTAAATAAACCGAGACAGCGAGTTTATTTTATTAAAGAGTTCCCCTTTGATGTCACTTCCTGTTTCACTTTGGCTGAGCCAAATTTAAAAGAAAATAGGCCAGTTATGTGAGAAAATGGGTAAAACTATGTGTACTATGCCAATTTTCTTAATTATAAAGATGCTTTCTTTGACTTTTTGCGTTTGAAGGATAGGCATGTCACAGGCACTTTAATCTGTGAGAGTTCTCTATATATCCATATACCTGCAACTTGTAATTTACACACAATCTGTCCAAATCGACGTATGCGGTTGATCAAAATTAGCTGTAGTGACATGTATGACCTCTGGAGGGTGAATTACTAATACAAAACCAAAGGGTTTTTTTGGCTTCAGGCTTGTAATTCAGGTTTCACCCTTGAATGTGTCCTCGCTGTCTTGCAGTGGAGAGTTTGTGCGAGGCTCAGAGGACTCAGTGTGATCCGGAGCGCTCCGTCTGCGCAGACAGCAGCGGCACTTCCTCCTGCCAGTGTCTGCAGGGGTATTACAAACGCAGTCCAGACGAGATGTCCTGCTTGGGTGAGCACTTTTTCATCTGTATTACTACTTTATGAAAGCTTGATCATTTTAAGCTTTTTTTTTTTTTTTTGGGCTGAAAAAAAAAAAACAGCAAAAATTGAAACTGAGCAATTAGAGCAAAATCAAGTCCAGCATTTTTTTTAAACATTTGTTTCCCTCCTAGAATGTGGAGACGGCTACAAGCTGGAAAACGGCACGTGTGTTCCGTAAGTTTAACTTTATTTATTTTTTATTTTGCATAAGTAATGTGACAATTAGAAAAAAGCTTCTGTTTCTGTTTTTCAGGTGCATGTTTGGATTTGGAGGATTCAACTGTGGAAACTGTAAGTGTGTTCTAACAGGCCAGCAACATTCAGCTTGAACAGATGTTTTGCTTATATCTTCACACACGTGTTATTAAAAGTATGATTTTATTACTTTGTTTCGTTACAGTTTACAAACTGATTGCAGTTGTAGTTTCACCTGCAGGGGGAGCTCTGCTCCTCATCCTTATCATTGCTCTCATTGTCACTTGCTGCAAGTAAGTGACTCAAACTTTTAGTACAAAAGCTACATTTGTTTTTTTTTTTAAACTAAGCTTGTTTCAAAAAAAGAGGAATTATTAATACATGAAATAAGTTCACATAAATAAAAAAAACCTCTAATTTTTGTTACTTTTTTGATGTAAGTTTAACTTGAACATTTTTTAAACTTCCCAGAAAAGACAAAAATGACCTCAACAAGATCATCTTTAAGAGCGGAGACATGCAGATGTCCCCGTATGCAGACTTCCCTAAAAACAGCCGAATATCCATGGAGTGGGGCAGGGAGACCATAGAGATGCAAGAAAACGGCAGCACAAAAAACCTGCTGCAGATGACCGACATTTACTATTCTGTAAGTAGAACATACAGGGAATATTTTCTAAATAAAACAAACAGAAAAAAAAACATGCAGAACTCTCAGAGTAAGCACATACAGTAAGTAAACGACAGATGGTGTACTTTTTTTTAAAAGAAGAAAAAAATACCTGGAGATTAAACTGTTTTCTTAAAATCTAAAGATCCTTGTCATTGTGCAAATCAGTTTCATCAAGCATCTAAAGGGAAAAGCTCCTGCTAAAATTAGCTTAGCACTGCTCTTTAAGTGGTTTTAAATTGGTCAGGCTGCGTTTGCCTGTAATTATGACTGATTAAAATTATGTGTGAACTAGACATGGGTMTTTACGATGTWAAAACAAGTGTGCATTGCCATGTAGCATGTCATTGCAACATGGCTTTGCCTGCAGCATTGGACTTACAGAATGAACTGTGACCAAGTTCAAAGGTGTTTTCTATACCAATTTGTGCTTGTCAAGTCAGCAGGTGTTTGTAATTAAGGTAATTGTGTGACAAAATGAAGTTTGAAGAGATTTTTGTTAAAGCTGCAGTAGCTGGATTTGAACCCTGATCTCCCGCATGAAAGACCACAGTGATCATCATGAGACTATAGGAGATGTGGCAGAGGACAATCCCAGGGATTGGATTGTATGCATACAGAAAATGTTGACCTTGCCAATGCAATTATTGACACTTAAGTGCAATATATTACAGCAATAGGACAACATAAAGACAGTATTACACTAAAACATCAAAATACAATCATTAACATTGTAATCACTGAACCAGAGTTTAAATATTATAAAACTATGGTGCAATACCATATTGCGTAGAGGCAGCAGGGGGCAGTATTGGACCAATACAAGGCTCCCATGACTGCCATTATAATTTATTAAACATTAATATTTCAAAAACTATAAGTTTTACAGGCACCAAAAGGCATAGCCATCATTTGGCACAGGGGCTTTACAAATATAAATTACAATGGCAGCTCTAGGACAAAGTATGCAGGAGGAGAAGCATGGCAAAGTTGAGATGACTTGGATGGGAAACGAATCACAATAGTGTGCATTGCATTGGCAATGCACACTGATAAGACGCACTGACTTCATGCGTGGTTGACTWGTTCTGTGAAAGGTCTTAATGACGGAGGTTTTTACATTTTTAATCAAGTGACGCAAAGGTTCTGTTTAATTAAATACACAAGGGATCTAATGTCATGTTCCACTAAACAGTACAAGTGGCGAGTTTAATCACTTCTTCGTTCCATCGGATTTGAAAACAGTTCCCCCTCACCTAAACTGATTCTCCCCAAAGGCTACAATATCTTTGTGTTTGATTGAACAGATAATTAACTTCAAGCCAAATAGCTGGCAATAGACATTATGCACTTACATTTTTCTATGTTTTTGTGTCTCGTCTCTCAGCCTGCTCTGCGTAACTCAGACCTGGAGAGAAACGGCCTGTATCCGTTCCCGGGTCTGCCGGGATCTCGGCACTCGTGCATTTACCCCGCCCAGTGGAACCCCTCCTTTATAAGTGACGACTCACGAAGAAGAGACTACTTCTAAGTGCCGCCCCRCGCTTCCAACACAAACCYAACCAAGCCCTGACWGTTCTGATGGGTTTCTGTCCCCATGAGGAGGATGAAATGTGAGCTGTGCTCTTTTAATGACTTATCTGTCTAAAATCAGGGCTGCACACTAAATACGCAAATGTGTTTGTGTGTGTCTGCATTTTTGCTAAAATGTTTTTGCAAGTGAAATYTATTTCCTTGTGACCATATCAGTGTTTTGCATGTTTTGAACCATTTACTTAAATGTATGTACATCTCAGACTGCTGCTGTAGTGTTTAATGTATTTTTGTTTGTTTTGTTTTAAAGCAGCAAAGGATTCTCAGCTTCAGTGCAAAGATAAACGATCCATTACAGTTTAGGTCATGTCTCCCTTTCCTGTTGCCACTTATTGCTGTCAGATAATACAGCTCTGCATCAATGACAAAATGAACATTTACGGGGGGAAATGTGGGGAAGAAAAAAAAAAAGCACTATAGCAGAAGCTTGTGATGTGCACTGAATGGACCAGAACATGCAAAAACACACATACTGCAGCTCCTGAAGTGCTAAGATATGAAAATGTGTGCACCACTGCTGTAATCGTTTTTGTTAATTATCTGAGGATAAGTTATTCATGGAACATGGTAATAACAAACCACTGAAAGATGTACAAAGTCTTTTTTTTTTTTGCTGACAGTGACTACAGAAGAACTTTGTAACCTGATGCTAGCTGTTATTTATTCCATGTTATGTCCAAGCTGCCTACATGTAGCAGAATGGATATCACATTTATACACACTGACAGACTTTAAAGGGATAAGCCTGTGGCTTTAAGCATGAGTGAGTGTATGTGTGTGTGTGGATGATGAATGAGTGTGTGTGTGTGCATAAGCAATAAAAGAACTGAATGTAAGTTGATATCATAATTAGCTGTTTCTGTTGTGAGTTGTGTTGTTTTTATTTGTTATGACGTGTTGTTTCTGGCGTTTTAGTCAGACGTGTTTATTTAAATAAAAATACTGAACAGCCTTTTTTTATTATATCTTTTTATTTTGTGCTTTTTCCATTAGATTTTAACACTAAACTATGTGGAGTCTGTTGATTCTGTCACTAAAGCTGTATTGGTGATCTAATTGAC